ATAGGGAGGTTAAGTAACTTGTCCAAGGCCACACAGCTGGTAAGTCAAGAAGCAGATTCCAGACTGACTCCAGAATCTATTTGTAATCACCATAATATATGGCCTTCCAGTTCTGCTCAAGAGACAGTAGAACAGTTAAATTACAGACTCAGACAAAAAAAAAATTTAAAATTTAAAATTTAAAAACAAAAAATAAAAATTATAGACTCAGCTGCTGTAACAAAAACAAAGAGAAACCAGGGTAGAGTAATTTAAATAAAAAGGAGGTTTAGTCTAGAGGGTCCTCCAAGGACCCAGGTAAGTTCTTCCAGCCCCAACATGAGTTTCCAGCTCTGGGTCTGAGGCCACTGCACCAGCTGCCATCATTTCCTAATCAGCAAGAAGTGGGGAAAGAGTAGGGGACAAACAGCAACTCTCTTTAAAGGCGTGACCCGGAGATTGTACAGAGCGCTTCTGCTTATATCCCATTGGCTGGAGCGTGGTCACATGACATGACCATCCCTAACTGCAAGGGAGTCTGGGAAATGTAGACTCTGGCTGGGTGGCTGTGTGCAGTGCTCATACTCTTAGGGGTTTGGTTACCAAGAGCAAAACAGGGAGGATGGATTCTAAGGGAGAAGTAACAGCCTCTGCCACAATCAGGATTCTTCTCTGAGATCCAGGCTGGGCCTGAAGTCCCTGGGAGGATAGAAATTGGAGGTCTGGGCTGGGCGCAGTGGCTGACGCCTAGAATCCCAGCACTTTGGGAGGCCAAGGCGGGTGGATCACCTGAGGTCAGGAGTTTGAGACCAGCCTGGCCAACATGGTGAAAGCCCATCTATACTGAAAATACAAAAATTACCCAGGCGTGGTGCTGCATGCCTATAGTCCCAGCTACTCAGGAGGCTGAGGCAGGAGAATCATTTGAACCCTGGAGGCGGAGGTTGCAGTAGCCAAGATCGCCCCATGGCCCTTCAGCCTAGGTGACAGAGTTAAGACTCTGTCTCAAAAAAAAAGAAAAAAAAAAATTAGCCAGGCATGGTGGCACACTTGTAATCCCAGCTACTCGGGAGGGTGAGGCAGGAGAATTGAACTCAGAAGATGGAGGTCTGGCCCCTGTTGTCGACTAGGAGGGTCCGAGGGGCTGGAGGAGGGTCCTGGGACAGTGGGACCCCCACTGCTCAAATTATCATAGTGAATACAGGTATCCTTGACCTTTACATCTTTCCCTTTCCTGATTTTAGATGATGGGAGTTCAGATAGCAAAGTGTTTGCCAAGTTGATTTGGTTCCTGAGGTTTCGGCAAATAGCAAGGAAGTCACCCAAAAATTTCTGTGCGTCTATTCAGTTGCTGCGTTTGGAGAGAGGAGAGTTGTGATAGGAGATGGTTTGGAGCGGGTAGAGTTTGAAGAAGGGACAGTTTGAAGGAGGGGTAATAGGGGAGGAGAGTTAGTAAAATAATGCTAGGGTTGTATAGTACACAGCCTGCACAACTGTACATTGCAGCCCTGTCCCTGAGTTCCAGGCTGGTTGCAGTCCCTGGTCTCAGGACAGGATTATGAAGAATCAGAGGGACTGGGGTCCTGGCTTGCCTCAGTCCCCGACCCTGACTTGTCTCTCTCTGCCCACAGCTCAGGCACCCCACGG